TAAAACAAACAAAACAAAAAAAAATAAACATGGTGGAAACACGGAGTAACGGGAAAACTCGTTTTTATTAATATTTTTTTCGTTCAATATTGACACGGGCAAAGCCATGCGGGACAACTAGTAGGTATTAAATATATAACAGACTCTGTGCAAATTGTCGATTAAAATATTATGTACTTATTACTTGTCTATTATGTCACACGGTAATAAAAACGGCGAATTCGGAAACGAAACCATTGGTTTTTGTTCATTCGACATTTAAAACCTTTGATTTAAAAAATCAATAAATCAATTACTGTCGGCCTATAAACAGTCGGTATTGAGTACAGAAGTGTATTCTGGCACTACAGGAACGTATCTACAGCGGTACATTTTAAGGGGCGGTAAATTTTAGAAGGAATTTTTTTTTTATATTCGGTATTATCAAACCGAAACCGGTTGAATGGAGATCAATACAAAAACCTTAAGAATGATAAATCACGTAATGTTTTAAATCTAAATTATAAATAACCTATTTTTATTTTTTTAATACAGCTCTTGGTACTTCCATCACCTTTAATGTAATTATAATAATAACTGATATTAGTACAAAAAAAGCTAATATTGATATTAGTGATAATACAATACCTAACGAGTTTGTCCAATCCTCAGGCATCTTAGTTGAATCTGAAGATAATTGTGTATCATAATAATTTTGGGTTCTAAAGTAAGACAACTATTTTAAGGATAGCAATAAATTAATCAAAAAAATATACGAACTAATGACTTTAGATCCTCTAAACGTAAATAAACAAGACATTTAGACTATGCACGTATAATACGTTCAATAAGAAATTTAATAACGGAGGAACAAAATATGTTCGTTTCTAGTTAGTTTATTCTCCATGTTTAGGAGTGTTTTTATTTGTGGTCCTTATCAAATGGTTTTATTTAAATATTTTAAGGTCGTGATTTTCGATAGACTTAATATATATAAATCGTACTAAAATCGAATCATTATCAAAACGTTATAAAGAACAAAAATATTTGGATGGGACGACGGATGGATTTGTAGTTCTTTCCCCTTGTGTATTATACGGTGCCCAAATATAAAGTAAACATTTTGAAAATTTACCTGTATATAGGGTGTTCTATAAAAATAAACCTATTGCAATACCTCCCGAGAAAATAAAGTTAATCAAATCCTGTTTTTTGAAAAACCGAAAATAACGGGAATATGTACGAAATGTATATGACTAAAATGTTACGTTTTTTTTTTCTCGTGCAAAACCACCAATTTTGCTCCATCTTTTAATAATAGCAATGTTTCTAAAAGAAAATTTTACTAGCGAGGTACTTTAGAGAGGTCATTTTTGAATTTCTCATCAAATTAGAAAAACCTAGGTAAAACATAGAAAAACAGGGAAAAACGTAGGAAAACTTGGAAAATCGGTACAACATTAAACAAATATTATTCTTCTGAACTCCGCTCAGAATCGTTTTTTCGTAAGCAATGGTTTATCGTTGCTTACAGGTATACAGGTATACATCAAAATATCCATAACAGTGACTGCACTCGTTCTCATTATCCTATTTCTTTTTTTGTCTGCGATTTCCCGCATAAATGATATTATATCCCCGTAAATACGCCCCTGGTTTTAACGGCAATCGTATGCATCAGTATTACCAGCCAACGGGTTTTCACGCAATATAATATTGCCGCGTTGCCCACCTCGTTTCGGCTTCGATTACGTTTTATTATCGTACCGTGCCGATAGCCCGCACGAAACTTCACACTATTCGTTAAATCGAAAGTAAACCGGCGTACAATCACAAATAACAAACAATACCATTCGCTAATATTATGTATCGTGATAAGCGATCGTGATATTCGTTTGCTAACAACGGCGGTCAATTATCGCGTTGCAACGAATATTTGCGCCTGATTGTATAATAACGATAACAGGGTCGTCGTTTGAATGCAATTAGAATGATAAGCATGCGTATTACACATACAATAGACATAAAATTAATATTAAAAACAATAAACGATAAACGGTTTTTTTCGTTTTTTTAATACACGGTTACATAATATTATAACACATCAATAATTATAATATTATCGACGATAACAGTTGTTAATTCGTTTCGCTTTGTGCGCGCGTCGGTATCATAACGAACCACGACTAATTTTAATTCGCATTAATATTTGATTACGCTGCATAATGGAATATTATACACATGATTGTAAGATGCATTTGTATCATTTCGGTACCTATACCCGGGAGTAGTTGCGATTTATTTCATTGTAATTATTTTGGATTTCAATAAAAATACAATCCGAAATTAAAACAATATCAATAATAATAACGAAAGAGGCATAATATTATTCAAATGATGAAATAAGTGTTTCGATTTAAGGTACAAGTGTTGTCAAAAAAAAAAATTTTAAAAAAATATTTATTGTTTTTTCCTGATCATAAACCGTTTTTCGTATTGCAATTAACTCATTATTTTGGTCAAAGTAAAAATTATACTTATACTTATATTTAAGTATGACACATTATTCATGAATTGTTTTTTTTATTGTGATATTTAAAAAAAAAAAACTGTCTTAATGAAGACGGATTCAACCCCTGTTGTAGGTGAGAAATCGGGAAGGTAGAATATAAAAAGGAATTTAACGTACATCGGTAAGAAACGATAAACCATTGCTAACGAAAAAAACGATTCTGGCCGCAATTTAGTTAATGGTGATGCTTTGTCAATAATGTGTATGTCACGTTATGGTAAAATAGTTAAATAGTCATAATATAGTTTCTTTAATAATATTCGTTTAATATTGTACCGATTTTCCCGATTTCTCTATGTTTTTCCGGGTTTTTCACATTTGCCGGAAAACTCTTAGAAAAATCTGAAAAAGACCTGCATAAAATACCTCCCTAGTCAGATTTCTGTTTAGAAAAAGTGCTATCATTGTAAAACCTGGCCAAAATTGATGGTAGAAAAGTAGTTGACAGAAAAAATTAAGGCTGTAATAGTTTTTAACTAATACCTACAATATCGCCTTTAAAATTTTTAAGTTAAAATATAATAAAGAATAGTAAAACGATTTAAAATTTACACGAATGTTAAATTTTTAATTTTATCTTATGAATTTATCGGTTAATTTTACATATATTATATAAATATATATATATATTGTAGTATCATGATGATCACTCTGCTATACCATTTGCACAATCCTCACACTGCATGCAAAAACACCGAGCTCCGCTCCGAAAATAAAATTGAAAAACGAATGTCATTGAGCCTACTTAATTATTTGACTATGATATGGCGTATATATTGTTGACAAAGCATATCACTATCAACTGAACTCCAATGGTTTATCGTTGCTTACAGGTATACATTCATTTACCCATAACTGTAACTGCACCCGTTTCCATTATCCTGGGACGTATTTTTTCAAGAGTTATAAGTACCGAGTAAGAAAAATGCAACATTATAAGAACCTTTATTTAATTACAGTTATTTTTAGTTAAATGCCTCTCAGAATTTAGTTTATATAACATATAATAATATCACTTAATCTATACAAATGTCACCGACATTGTCTCTACGATATACATAATATATTCTGATACAATTATAAAGCTAGTAACGTACTGTCAGTACCCGGGCTCATCGATTCCGCGGAAATTGGAATTTAAATGATTTATGTCAAGTCATGTAGGACACAGACGTCGGGAATAATTTTCTTATTCCTAATGCCCTATACCACGTTCTGACCCAATCCACTTCCTATGGTAAAAATCACCAACTCCACCTCGCCAATACTATTAAACTTTAATTTTAATTTTCACATTTCGTCCCTAGCCTCGCCCTTTTCGGTTTACTGCATGTGTATTCACTGCACTATATGTTCACTGCACTATATTCTATTGTTTTATCATTACGTATTCTTGTTAAATTTCCCTTCGGACGTTGAATTATAAAATAAATAAATAAATAATAATACTGTGATAGACATACGATTCTATCATTAATTATTACTTATTAATTATTACTACTAGGAGGTTATTCTTTATAAATGCATAAAATATCTATTGAAATTTGAAACCGAAAAGAACCGGAAATCCCCTTTACACCAATATAGAAGTTTTGTTTTCGGTTCCTAAACAAAAGGATCGACACCATCGTGTTCCGGTACCATAATTTTAAATGGTTTTGGTTGAGAGCCGGTATATTTTGGTTTGGTCTTTAGGTTCCAGTTAGGGGAAAATATCGGTGATCTTGTAACATCACGACACCACGACATCACGACCTAAAATAAAAATATGGTTTAATTTACGCTCTAGAATGCAGCACAGATATTTTGTCAACTCCTTGTCCCATCAATAACAGCACGGCCGCCTTTATCGTGCTGTCAGACCTATAATATCTATAAGGTCGTAGTTATAATGATAATAAAAATAATATCTTTATTCATAACCCGCGATAATGATATAGTATTTTTTCCTTCGCGTATTTTTATTTTAAATTCAAATTTGAACATCAAATTGAAACTGACAATACAATAATTCTGTGTGTTCATTACAATTTACTTTTATCGCGTAACAAGCGACTACTGTCTATAGTAAAACCATCGTAATTTTACACTGATGACTAGATATTAAAATTAGTGATCGTTCCACTCTCCCTCCGCAAGCGATTTGACATATTATTACTATTGACGATTTATTTGACATGCCGAGTTAAACTTGCAATGCAATCAAATAATATAATCAATAAACATAGCGAATCGATAGATTGACTTTTTTTTTTTTTTTTACTCGGTGACAGTGACGCGAATGGAATACGCGTTTATTACAATATTATTGTCCTTCGGTTTTTACGTTGTATATAAGTGATAAAACACAATATTTTAGTTTTAGTTGCCGTTTCGACCGTATACAGTATGTACTAGTGTATACCGAAATTGTAATATTTTTTTGTTACCCGCGCTGTTAAAAACGACCATGTTTGCACACACGAACATTGTAAGTTTTATGCGAAACGCGCGCAGATAAACGTACATTCATAAAATTCGAATCCCCGTACAATATTACGGTCGATATCGTATTATACTTCCGGGTTTATAAGATAACATTAACATTCGGTCGGAACTCAATGTCATACAGACCGTTTCGGCTGTGACGTTTTAAAGGACGCGTTATATTTTATTAACAGCGCTTAATATACGATTATTAAACGGAATGTTTTTTTTCTCAGTTAAACAATGTAACGTCGTACGCTTTGCCGACGACGAAAAGCGAACTGTATATTTACGCCTCCGTCGTGATTTCCGTCATATTGTGGTGCCGCATGAGATGGCAGTACAGACAATTTTATCGTCTCGCGCACAAGATTAAAGGCCCGCCGTCGTATCCGCTGAAAGGGTCGATTTTCGATATGAGCACGACTCCCGAGAGTAAGCTAATCAGAAACATAAACGATGCGATACGAGACGTTTTGGTTTTCCGGGTCCATATCCCGGTATCTCTTTTCGTGCGCAATATTATTTGTGAAATATTACCTGTCGTTTCAGAAATTTTGTACAAATTTAAAGAATCGGCCGTGAAAAACGAATACGAACCAGTAAAGTTGTGGGTAGGACCATTCCTTTTCGTCGGCGTTTACAAGCCAGAAGACGTACAAGTAAATCGATATCGCCGTCCCTAATATATTATTTTCGCAACGCATTTTCAACAATCACTATACATAATATTGTATAAATATCGTACGTTTCACGTTTTGGTTTCAGATCGTATTAAACAGTTCCAGCGCACTCGAAAAAGGCTTAATATACCACATCATCCGGCACGCAGTCGGCGAAGGTGTGTTCACCGCACCAAGTAAGTTTTCTCGCATTTTTTCAACTTCAGAAAAATAATTAAAAATGTAATAATATTATGTAATGCAATAATATTAACCTGAAAACGTTTCTTTTTCAGCAATATCTTAAGTTGACAATATACTAAAAAAAGAAAAAAAAAACATAATAATAATATTCTCCAGATGAAAACCTCATAGATTCAACAATACATCCTTCATTATCCGCTTCTGTTTAAATAAAAGTTTTTTTGTTTTATATATATATATATAGTCGACTACATATGTTTTAAAAAAAAAAAAAAAAAAACATAATAGCATAAACACTTTGATAAAATCCATATAATACTATATTTTTTATGAATACAGATTTTAGACTAATAATTAATAGGACGAATTCAAAAAGATTTCATTATTTTATTATTTTTTAGATATTTACTAACTTTATCACAATACGTATTTTATCTATATGTAGTTTCGGTAATAATTTGGCATGCTACGTAGCTACAAACGATTTAGACTTTTAATAATTTAACGGGACAATGCACACCAGCTGGTTATCGGCCATAAAATTAAAATCGTTCAGAAGAGAGAATTTATAAGATTACATTTTTTTTTTTTTATTTTACTCTTACATCAGTGCTCGAAATGGAAAATAATATATTGAACCATAACACATTTTTTTTGTTTAAATACTTATACATTCAAATAATATTATACAGTATGTTTGTATGATGCGTGGACAGCGATATTAAAATATGAATAAGAATTCCGTCCGTTTCGAGCACTGACTAAAGCACATCCTCGGGCACAAAAAAAACTTAAATGAAAACACAAAATTTAATTACATTTCTATAGATACATTTCTCTGTTGCTATAGATTATTACGTATCAAATTACACGTAATTTGTGTAGCGATTTGGACTGGTTTTTTGAAAAAATAATATCAGTTATGTTATAAAATGACGGAATAGTATTTATTTGAAATATTTTAATATTAAATATTTGTATTCACGAGGGATTAATAAATACAATTAGTGGATATTGGGTTTAAATATTCGTTTTTGTTATTCATAAGGTTTTATCTATATTCTATTGAGGGGTAGGGATGAATGATATGTTTTGTCCTCCTGTGATTTAAACGGGTGGAGGAGAGGGAGTCATCTATTCCGGTGCCACAGAAATATATTATAAAACCATTGATTTTCAGTGAGCAAATGGAAAAAACACCGTCGCATCATAGCCACGATATTTAGCTCGAAATTTCTGGATCAGTTGTATCCGATTTTCAACAAGAACAATAAAAAACTGGTCGAACTCCTTTCGAAACACACCAACGACACGCAACCGTTCGACGTTTGGGATTACATCATATCGTGTAATCTGAACAACGTAAGCCGTAAGTCCGAAAAAGTATTTGTGACGTATTGAATGATGATTATAGAATTTTAACAAATTTCAAATGTAATACCACTTGTTGATACTGTAGAGGCCGCTATGGGTTACGACCGTATCGATAAACGAACGTTGGCCGAATTCGTGCTCGCCATGAAAAAGTAAAACATTCGATTATTTGGAAGATAGTAAACTGCGGCAAAATTTCCCTTTTTCTAAGTTGTTATGTAAACCGCGGCAAAAACAAATTTAACAATATACAAAATGCGGCAATTTATTTTACAGTTTTAATTTTTATTTACAGTACAATTTAATATCGGTTTGTATAATAAAAATATTGGTAAAATTGGGAATTGATTACAAAAGAACTTTCGTGCCTCGAGGTGGTAGAAAAATGGCCAAAGGGGGTAAATGGACGGGTTTTCGAAAATTATAACACTAGACATGCAAATGTATATGAGCTTTTATAAGGAGCATATAATTTTCTATAAAAAGATTCCTATAATATTTTCTGAAAATTAAAGATTTTCCGAGAAAAAAAGTAAAATACAAAATATTCTCATTTATTTGGTGAAATTTGTATTTGAATTATCTTTGGTTGTAATCTGTCGCCAGTACATTTTTCTTGTGGCTTGGGTACTTTTTACGATATTCTTGAACAACCTATATTAAATAAAAAATTTGAATTAATATGTTGTATACATATTAATTCAATTATGTAATATGTGTATACCGATAAACGGAAATCTATTAAATTGGTAAGGTAAATCCAAATTTATCTTTACATAGGAATTAAATATCGGTTGCTTTACTTGTGATAATACTACTTAGATGTCAGTTTATATGATGGCTGTTTTTTTAATATTAGTTAAATAGTAATGTTCTTTTCTATTTCATAATTTTAAAATCTGTTTTTTATATATATATATATATACCCAAGTACTCTAAAAAGCTCCCAATTGACTACCAAAAAAATGTCTGTCGTCAGTCGTTACTCGGTTATATGTGTGCGACGGCGAGGAACGCCGTAGACCCATATTCTATAATAATGCGTGCATGTTCTTAGATAGCGTACTAACGTTATCGACCATTGATCGTCTTATCGGTACGTATGTTATAATATTATATATGTTACGGGCAAAGTAAATAGTCGGGCATTGTGTACGGTGCCCAATTTTCGTGAGTAAAGTTTGAATAAGTTTACATTTTCCGCTTATCGTACACAGTGTCCGACTTCAGGTTTGAACAATGTACATTGAAAACGTACTTTTTATTGTACAATATTCGATAAACGTTAACCTAACCGTTCTGTAGAATTTATTTTTCTGAAAATTTGAACGAATCACACATTTATGTCCGATAAATAGTTTCAAAGCAACAGCCGTTTTACATTCTACTTATCCGTGCGAAAACCGATGTTATCCAGAGAATAACCCAACAGCGCAGTGGCGCTCACACAGTGCAGCGGTAGCGGTTGACGGTGGCGGTAGCGATACAACAAACCGCCGCCGTGTTCACACTGCTGCGGCGGCGCTAGAGGTTTACTATGCGTTTATAATTTTAATATTTTTTTACGCAAATAAATAGTATACATATATACCTATACCGTGGAATGATGAAAAAAATCTGAAAAACCGTGTGGTTTGCAGTGTGTGGACTCCAATGACAACACGCGAGTTCTATTAAACTGCTACCGCTACCGCGGCGGCTAGTGTGTAGGCACCTTTTACGCGATATCATCGGTTTTCACGCGGACTAGTAGAATTTGAAATGGCTGTTACTTAGAAACTGTTCATCGGATATAAATGCGTGTTACACCAAGATTGTCAGGAAAAAATAGATTCTACTGAATGGCTATCTTAAAATTTTCCGAAAATAATAAAATAAAAAGTTATTTATTTTAATTGTTTTGATTTAAAAAAAAAAAATTTATTCAAATATACATATTTTCAGTCCTCATCCCAGTGAGTAATAAAAAAAAACAGAATTCGATTATTATATTTCCGGAGATATTCAAAGGGTATATCTTCGTGGGACAGCCTGTATACCTAATAAGTATATGAAATAAATTGCCGCTGTTTTTATGATGTATCTTATCGGTTTTGCCACAGTTTGTATAATGTTAAATTGGTTTTTATCACAGTTTTACATATCGACTTTTAAAAAGGGGGAAATTTTACCGAAGTTTACATACAACCGATTATTTTTGTCATTATATTATATTTTTCAACGTTTAAATTTTGCTTTATAAACTATTTACAAATATTTGATAATTTAGTGTACCTATTAAAAAAAAAAGGGTGGCGGGCAAACGTGTTTTAGGGTTTCAGAACTGAGTAATTGCATTGTAAAACCGTGGTTGTATCTCGATCAGATTTTCGCCGTTTACGCGTACATCACCGGTCTGAAAGTATACTTGGATCAATTAAATAGGGTTTCATTACAGGTAAGACTGGGTTTAAATATGAAATTTAAAAAAAAACACGAGTTTCAAAGTTCAGTCATTTGAGTCGAATTTTCCCCCCAGTTGACTTACTGCTGTTGAAACACTTAGCTGTTTTTTTTTCAATACAATGGTGAGAAAATAAAAAGAAAAAAATGTTTACAAAAATAGACAAAGTATATTTCTCGAGATTTTCGTTAATGAACAAACAACGGTTTTCTTTACACAATATACACATTTTAATCATATCACTTACTTTCTCGAGTCTGTCAAGATGTTTAAAACCCGCTGTTTCCTGTGAAAACTTAAAATCTGCACATGAATGCAAATATACAAAGTGTCCCACCGTGTTTAACGTCCCCATTATATTTTCTTTTTAGAAAAAAATTTAATTTTCGTTCTTATCCCTTATCCCTAAAAAGAAATTTATATTTGTTCACTTTACAAAATTTTCGAAGTAGCCATTTTGTAAAAGGTATTATTCTAAAAATTCGAATACAACATACATTAATAGTTTTTTAGTAACAACCATTTTGATTTCCAATGTTTTCAATTTATAACGCAATAAATCAAGCTATTCCTTATCGCCTTACGCAGTAGTCTCGTTTTTCACACAGTTTCACTAAAAATTAAAATGACTTTTTTTACAAAACTATTGATTAAATATGTATGTATGAAACGGTACAATATTTGCAACAACATGTATATTTTACACGAAGAAAATAACTATCAATACTAACAGCAGACACAATATATAGTGCAAATGTCTCCATTTCGGGGGAAAATTCGAAAAAAAACATTAATTGAATACCAGTAATAATCTAGAGTTTTATAAATGTATACATTATAGATAATAAGAGACAAAAAACTCGAATTTAAAACTACGATGGCGGCACAACAGTCAAATAAATCGGCAAACGGCGACGTTACCGAAAAAACAAGTACGAAACCAATATATTATCTGTTTAAAAATGTGTTTACAGCTTAAATGCACAATATCGAATTCATCGAAACGTGATTTCAGATAAGAGTTCTATAAAAGTGTTTTTGGACAAGTTGCTCAAGTTGAACAATGAAGGAGCGGATTTCACGGACGGCGAACTCAAGGACGAGGTCATAACGATGACAGTCGCGGTAATACCAATTTTAGTAACACACGAGTCTAGCGGCTTGACGGATTACAATATCAAAATAATAATATTATCCGACTTGCGTACAATTATATCATAATGGTTTCGTTTAGGGCAGTTTAGTTTAGTGCCCAACCGGGGGTTAATTACTCCTAGGCAGGAATTTCGATACAACTACACGGGAAGAAGATAATGACTATAAAATAACAAGAATTTTGTTGCCGAAAAAATTATGCCATTTTACATGCAGTAAAATTTAAAACGATAAATTAATTTTATAGTTGTATGATCTATAGTTATTTTGTAAAATGTATTTATACGGCTTGCCAAAAAAAAAAATAAATAAAAAACGCCGTCTAACCTCTAATAGTCTTATCAAATTTAAAAGATTTTTGAAAATTTACAAGAGTAGCGTATAATAAAAGAAGTTGGGAGTCACTGGTATAGGAATACGTTATACCTGCATGTGCTGTGCTTATCTTATAGCCACGTGTCATTGGCACATTTTCGTTTAACATGGTCAACTCTGTGCCGTTAGTTTTAATATTATTACAGATTGAATCGACCTATTATTAAACTCAAATATATTATGAAAATTGTATGCGTCGTTTCCTTTTCGTGATTTAAATTTTTAAGCAAGACAGCGTTTTTGAATCGTTATAATTCACGCAGTCGTATCTTGAAGATTAAAAAAACGACGACACGACACTGTTAATGTTCTTATTTTTAAGCTTGATAATAGTTAAATTTATTCTTATAATAAAACTGACGATACAGATTGGTCCCTGCTGAAAGACAATTTGCTATGCTGTAAGACGCAGACTGCATATGCAGCAATAACGTCCTCATCTTAACGTTATTATTCCGAATACAGGAATGAAAACTACTAGTTACCGTACACAGTTTCAAAATTAAAAAATACAGATTTTCGTATGAGTTCAATACCAGATACGTGATAATATTATTCCCGAATAGATACCGCGAGACAATGGTGCAACCAAGATTTCTTGTTGAGAAGGAGGGCTAAATAGGCTGGTGTTTGAATCATAGAAGTAGGTAAAGGATGTCTAGAAGTACGAAAGTATTCCAAAAAAAAAAAAAAAAGATTGTTTATAAAGTATTTTCATCAATATACATTTTAATATACCTATAATAATGTTTACGAAAATTAATAAAATATCTTAGTATAGCTTGTAACTGTATACTATAATATTGTATTATTATAGGAATGTAGAACCCTCTGAGAGCTGTATCCATTTTGGAGAATTTTGAGCGTAGACCATAATTATATCGGTTTCATTGTTGTCTTCTCTTTAATTTACATTATCCGTGACTAATCCATTGTATCTATTTTCTAGCATATAATATGCAATTGCTCCTCGTTTTTATACGGTCCAGTGTAGTATACGTTATTACAAGAGTGGAAGAAATAACCGGGGAAACGTATTTGACACTCAAATAATCATAAAACGGTACGCGCACATAAATAACGGCCCATGTGGGGAGGATTATAGTCACCCCCTTAGAACCCTCTGACTTCGCTTCTGCCTCGAGATACCCGAAAGCGAACGTATTAATTGTGTAAAACGCAAAGAAAAATAAAGCGAATTTATATCCGAGACTTTAATGATACCGTTTAAATTTAATCGATAGTAGGATAAAAAACGATTATTTTTGAACGTTTGTTAAACTTGTTGTGAATTTCAGGGTAGTGACACCAGTGCTATTAGCGAATGTTTTTGTGTACTGTTGTTAGCCATGCATCAGGATATCCAGGTAAATCTTAAGAACAGATAGCATCTAATTATTGTTGTAGCGTTCTGTTCGGTTTGCGTTTTCCACGTAAAATATTAATAATAATGCAATTCTGTATATACAGGACAAAGTTTACGACGAGATTTACAACGTGTTAGGCGACAGCGATCGAGACGTTACACCGGACGATTTGTTTCGATTTAAATACTTGGAAATGGTTTTGAAAGAAACCCTCCGGCTGTTTCCGCCGGGTGCGATTTTTTCGAGAAAAACTGACGCTAACATACGACTCAGTGAGTTACCGTGACTTTACGCAAATCTTATACTGAATAAACACTTACTCAATATACTATATGAAACGAAACTTTTTTTTTTTGAAAAAACTTTGCGAAAAAGGATAATCATTTTTTTTCATTTAATGAATTCGTTTTATTTTTACACAGCAAACTGCGAACTGCCAAAGGGCTGTAACGTTTTCGTGTCTCCGTACGTCACGCACCGTTGCCCGGAGCTGTATCCTGATCCGGATTCGTTCAATCCTGAAAACTTTAGTCCCGAGAACGAGTCCGAACGACATAAGTTTAGCTTTTTGGCCTTCAGTGGTGGTCCCAGAGGTTGTCTAGGTATAGTATATTTTAATAGAAAAAACGACAATCAGTAGGTAGGATTTGTATACGTTGTATAGATCGCTTATAATTACGCTAAAGTTAAGTTCTTGAAAAAAACAAATTTTTGAATTATTTACTTTGGAGAGCAAAAAAGCCACCAAAGTATTTTAATGGAGGATATTTGTCGAAGCTCCGAATAAAAATGACCGATGTGAGAGTAGCGGTATGAAGGAATCGTTGAACAAAGGAAAAAACGTAATCATTCAGACCGTTATTTTGTAGTCAAGCTGTCAAGCTTTTCATAAAGTACAATTTTCAGCAAAATCCTAAAAAGGACATCGATAGAAAAGAAAAAAAAAAAAGGTTTGGTTGAATTTTTTTCAACAATAATTTATACACAGACTCGTGGAGTCGTACAATTTTCTAGCGCAGGCTCTGGAGTCTGGATCGACCGAACGTCCAATTTTCCATGGCACCGCTAATTTTCTCGACATTTACGTGTTATTTTTGTACGGTGTAATATGACGGATTTTTTCCCACAGGTGTCAAGTATGCGATGATCTCTATGAAACTGATGATGATCGCGTTGTTGCGCCGGTACAGCGTACACACGGAATGTAAAATGTCGGGGATCGAAATGAAAATTGATTTGCTAGCGAAAAAGGACAACGGTTACCCGATCACGATCCGGCCGAGGGTGAATGTTGTATAACCCGTATAAAATAATTCACGGTATTGTGATTTGTGAAATAAAATATATGTCGATTATGTTTAAACAATAACAATTGTAATATCGCTTGTTGTTGATTGATATATCCGCTAATGTATTCGTCTATTAATTTGTATTATAGAAATATTCTTTGCATAAAACAGTAAATAATCGAATACTATAATAATATGATGTGATACCTACGGTCAGCACTATACTAAACTACAAACGTGAACTTACTAATTCCGAAAAATCGAAGAACTCGCTTCACGAAACTAATAGAAACGGGCGTGTGCGTGTGTATAATGCCGCCGACGGTTTTCGCACGGCCGCCGTGTTTGTCACGCGGTCGTCGTTTCGCGTTCGCCGTCGCAATACCCGCCGCGACGAAACCGTTTTTCGTACGCGTCCGCTAATGAAACGCACGCGGGACTTTCGTACGATTGTCGCGTTCAATAGCCGATTCTCACCGCTGGCCGGCTCCAATAGCGGTTATTCTGGTGGCAAGGGACACTGGCGGGGGGCTCAAACAGTCCGCCGAAAGCGTATAGGTCTGTTCGGGCTCCAATAGCCGCCGTACAAATATCACCAAGGACAGTTACTACCTACCCGCGCGTTACGTATTGTATTTTCGATTCCGTTTGTCCGTGCTGGTGTGTTTATTTATTTGGATTCGGGTTCGGGTAAGCGGCCGGCCAGTCTGCGCTTCGTCACCGCGAGTTATTGTTTGTATCATTTTTATTCGCGCCATTCGTTAATTTACAGATTAGTTGCCGTTCTCGATCCAGAAGGGTCGCACAACCAAAATGTTTTAGTACGCGCGCACACACTCTTACGGCTCCAACGGTTGGTTTTTTTCGCCATTTTTCTGTTGGGCCGGATGGGCCGCAACGTCCAAACAATTCCTGTACAAAATATCATCCGCGATTGCGTAATACCGAGTCACCTTTTTCGCTGGTTTTGAGTTTGTAACGCACCCCCACACGCATACACGCTTCAACACAAATACGCATTTATACAGAACACGCATTACATAGCTCGACAGTATTCGCCCGGCGACTCCGGCCGTGGGCTGTTCGAGCTGTCACACCACCGCACACCCGGCTGTCCCCCGCCCATACCCTCGTGTCTATAGGTGTTTATGGATGTTAGTGGCGTGCATTAGCATTCGGTGTCCGGGCGCGCGCGGTATCGCTTCACGCTCCCGGCCCGTATAGTGACCGCTTCGTGAAAAATTTTTCTAAAATTAATACACGTAGTGTACGATCGTGCAGCCGTTTCGTTTCCGCGTTAACGAACGACCCTCTCGCGAAAAAATCCGTTTTACGAAATGGCGCATTATTCGACGTGACGTGTTTATATTTATATGCGTTTCCGTTCGGACGTCGGTCGTTTTTCAGATTGACCAATTAAAATAGTATATTATGGCTGCGCCACTTATTATGATTTCGGTCCGTTTTCCGCACCGTCGACGACTTTTTTTCCGACGCGGCTAACGCGCGGGCCACGGATTTTCCGTCGCCGTAAATAACGATTTAGTGACGAAAATCCAACGAGATAAACACTTATTTATGTGCGCGCGATGTACGAGGAAAAAAAAAATAAAAAATAAAAAAATCGCGTTAGTTTTCTTTCCGCCCGCGGCCATGGGGATCGCGTCTTAATTTTATTTATAATACGAGTTTGGACGGGCGAATGTACTGGTGGGCACGCCCCAGAGTGGTACGAAATAACGGTAAAAAGCATTGCGATCTATACGCTTTTTTTGGGGGGAATGTGTTAATACCCACGCTTATAGTCACGGGAGGATCCAGGTGAAAGAGGGGGGTTTGTTGGTCCGCCGTTTTTTTCCTCGTTATTATGCGGACCCCGCGTTGACATGAATTCCATTTTTATTTTTACAAATGAGCGTATTGTTAACAGCGGTTCAAGGGGCAAAAACTTCGAACGGGAATTAAAGTAATTACTAGAGAAAAAAAAAAAAAATTATACGCGTACTCGAGGAAACCAAATTTTCAGGAAACCCATTATCACGGAGACAAGACTTTTAGAATGTCTTTCTCTCGAGGCACATTTGTACATAAACGCTTTATGCTAATAAGGTTTAGAAACTAAACCCTAGCCTCTTAAAAAAAAAAAAATTATAATCAAAATTATCCTACATAATATTATGTTTCTTGCCCAGTGAAAATAATGGAAAACAAAGTCTGATTGTACATAGTACAATAGATATTAAAGAATTTGATAAACGAATTAAATAAGTAAAATAAATAAATAACAAATATCTAAGTACTTCAGTGACAATAATTAGAACGCCCCCCTTACCCCTAGGACTTAAACTAAATGGGACAAATAGTTTGACATTGGATGAGAAGAAGACTCCGATCCCTTTCGCCTCCTCATACTCTAACTACCTACTGATTGAATAATAATAATCATTTTTAAATCGTACATAATCCTATCTCAAATCTCTATAATACTCACGTATATTACGGCGTGGTCGTAGTTTTTTTTTACGAAAAGTAATACAATATAAGAAATATTAGAAAACGAATACTAATACACCGATCCAGCGCCGCGGACGCGGCCCAGAGCTGAATAAGAAATAAAGAGCTTGTGCGTCGACCGGAGTACACGAGACGGCCAACTCCAATTTAACCTGTGCAATTTTACGGTGAACGGTCCGACCTCTCTGTAGTCTAACCCAATGGGCCGATTGTTTTGAAATTTAAACGGGTTGATCAGTATGTTATGTAAACGATAATTAAATCTGTAAGTACTGACACTGTAAATTTGAAATTGATCGAATGATTACAGCCTGGATAATATGCAAAAGTATTAGCATAGTTTTTACTCGAAACGTTATTTTTTTTCAACAATTCAACAATGTACATATTGTACGAGTTGTTACCACCTGTTTGCGGTGGTGGACATTTGCTGCGGCAAAAAAAAACAATTTTTTTTATTAATTTTATTGCTGTACCGCTAAAGTGTCGTTTTCCAGCAACATTTATAAGCTATATGCATGGCTATACATCATATATTCATTTATTCGTCCATAAAACAACAAAGATATTTTGTTCCCATCATTTTTCACTCGATAATTAAACAAATTATAGGTTAACTATACCCAAAATTTTAATAAAAAAAAATTAGCGATATCCCAACAAAAACCCTCCGTTAACTAAGTGTAAAAATCCCGCTAAAAAAAAAAAAAAAAACTAAGGTTAGAAAAGTTGTGATATCAAAAAGGGGTTAAGTGATTTCTGAAATTCATTAGAATAGAAATTGTTTGTAATTGATTGAATTTGATGAAATGTGATGATTTAGTATAAATAATTTAACTTAGCTCGGCGGCTACTCATAAATAGTGTTATGGTGAAGTTAATAAATTATAGAATGGGGATGTAAATATTCATGTCGGCATTGTATCTTTATTTACAGTCGTAAGTATTAGTAACCACCAAGCTGAGTTAAATTGTTTATATTAAATCATTGCACTTCATCAAATACAAGCAATTAAAAAAAAAATGGACATACTAAGGAATTTAAGAATTTACTTAGCCCCTTTTTGATATCACAACTTTTCTAACTTGAGTTATTTTTTCTTAACGAGGTTTCTACACGTAGTTAGTTGACGGAGGGTTTTAGTTAAGATAGTTATTTACATTTACTTTGAGTCATAGCCGTATTTATGGACACTTGAAGAGCGGGCAAGACGGGGCATCTTCCACTCCCCTGGATTTCAAAATTTCAAATATAATTTTATTTTAAGTACTTTTTGGTGTTTGATTTTATTGTGTCTCTCCCTGATCAATTCCCTGCTGGCATCCATGGCTGTGTCTACCAATTATTTGTTTTAGGGGGTGTCAATTTTAAGGTAAAACTATAACATGATTTGTAGAATTTGAATTAAAAAGAACTATATTCGTTTTTTAGGAATGTACTAATTTACTTAATATTCTTTATTATTCAATAAAGTATCAATTTTTTTTAACTACTAGTTGGGTACTTCTTCGACCACATTATACATGCAAATATTTTTCTAACTAAATAATTGAGTTAGTATTAAGTATTTATGGTTCTATGTATAAAAGAAATTCAAAATAAGCAGATTACACGTGTTCAGGAATATTCGATGGCGCTTCCATAGACCTATAGGCAGACAATAACGTAACGCGTATATATTATAATTTAATTCTCCTTTAGAATTTAAAGTTCAAAGGAAAACTTACAATAAAATATTTCTTTATTTTTTTTTTCCATACCTAACTTACAGAAATACAAACTTGAATAAATACGGAAAAAATACATAAGAAAAAGCAATATAAAATTGTTCGTAGAAATTTCGGAGGCTGGTGGTAACAGCCTGAATGTTACCATGTCTCAAGTCATCAATTATTCAATAGATTTATTAAATCTATTTTTATTGTTATTTATGTAAATGAACATTAATTTCTATTAATTTGCCCATGAACCAACAACTAGAGTATAAAATTAATAAATATTAGTTGTGTCCTGCATACCATTGTCCGTGCACGGTATTGAATGATAACAAATTTAAAAGTCTCAGTGGTTTTGCTGTAATTGTCGCCTGATAAAGCTGCGATTTTCGTCTAGGCGTGTTTCATTTAAAAAATGAAGATCGCAGTATAAATTATAGATTCTAAAATAAATTATCAACCGTATCACCAAGGTAAACCATGAAGTAAACATGACTGGTGTATTTTTTGAAAAAAGTGTTTTTTTTTTCCATAGCGTATTGTACACTTTTATCACAGTTAGTGTTATCGAAGACAATTTATGATTTTCCATTTATAAAATATTATTATAATACGGGTACGAGTATATAGTGATTGTTTTCGGAAATTTTCATTCGTATCATAATATTATTGTCTCCCGCTGTTGCGGTAAGTTATCACCCGGAGAGGTACAATTTTTTTTTTAAACTTGAGAAAAAAAAATTGGTAGAAATTGTTTCGGTAAATATTAGTTATAATCGA